GTTCATGTATACGTTTGCCAAAAGTGGTGAGAGCGGCGATCCCATGCGAAGTCAAAATATTTGTTCATAAATGTTCCTGCTGAATGTAAAATAGGTTGTCTTTATTGTCAAGTTGATTAATCTTGTTAACTACTCCCTACCGATCCGTTGTGATTTCAGGATATCCTTCTCTCGGTCCAGCATTTCCAGCAGGGCCGCTAGCGCATTTTCTCTAGAGATATTTGTATACATGCATTCCACATCGAAAATTGCCAATCAGTCCGTTTCTTCCAGTGCCATGTTTTTGATTTTTTCAGAAAATTTATATGAATGTTTCACCGTGTTGGATAGCCTCTCATTTAATTTCTCGAATTTCAAGCACATAAACTTTGCCAATTTGTGTGTTGCTCCAAACTTGTTGTTGACAATCAGCCTGAGTGGCTCGCCTTCTTTACGTATCTTCGGTAATCCGTATGCTGTCGGTGGTCGTACATCATTTCTTATGATTAAATTTATTGTGCATGTGTCAATTTCCCCATTCCTATGCATATCTTTCAGTATGCCACTTAAGATTCAATTGATCTTCATAGTTAGGTCCTTGTTTAGTATACGATATGTGCTTCTGTCTCGTAGAATATGTTCCATCTTCTTGGTATATTGTTTTTTTCACCATAATCACTGAAGCTCCTCCTTTGTCCGCTTAATGGACTAATTCTTCATTCGTTTCCAGGGTTTTGCATATCCTGGATCATCTGTTCCTGTGCGTTCGTTTTTCATTTGTCAAGATATTTGGAATTAGTTCCATCTCCATTTCCCATTTTATCTCCTCAGTGAACTTGTTGGCGATATTGACAACCTCCCCCAGGATGTCTCCTAGCAGGCTTCTTTGAAGTTGAATTGAAAAATGGAGTCCTTTTTTTGCAGGAACGCGATTGTTTCGGCATTGAGAGAAATTGATGATAAGTTTAGTACTTTCTTCCTATCTTCGTGCTGATCAGTAGATGTTGTCGCCTCGGAAGCCACTTCAACTGGACGTACCGGCTTTAACTTAGGTTGTCTTATAATCCCAAACTTACGAAATTTATCGTCATGCCATTTTGTTATTAAGTCAGAAATCCTACGTGATTTTCTGTCGGTCATGCTTTGGAGTTTTTTAAAATCTTCTGGAGACAGGATCCTGGCCAAATCACGCCGGAGCTTTGTCTTAATATCTATAAACTTAAACAACTTATAACGTTCAGTATCACTTAGTTTCTGAATAGAAGCCTAGAGGAGATAGTCATTGACATGCGAGTTGTAGGGTCTCTTAAGGTCACCGAACTTAGGAGTGATACCATAACGTTTACAACAATTTAACAAAGTCAGATGGGAAGATTGACTTACAATTGTCTTCTTTGTCGGTCTGTATTCAGTGCATTATCTGGCAATTATACTAGCGTAGTTTCATCGAAGAAGATTAGCCACACTCACTGATAATGCCGAATAAGATGCCGGCGAAACATCTGAGAAGGTACCAAGTCCACTGTCTGATGCTGGGAATCATGACAACTAATATGGCAGACAACTTCAGAGAAGGTGCGTTCTACTTAGTCGCCCTGACAACAAGACCAAGTCGCGAAAACGAGGTCAACCCACTTCTATAAAAGGAAAGAAGACTGAGACCATACCGAGGGCCACACCCTCTTGGTCTTCATACCTTCCATATGAATAGAGTTGGCGCTTTCATTGAATTTCACATAGCCCTGCATCCACGAAAGGTGTTCTTGTCCAGGGTGGATTTCAGTTTCGTCCTCGTCTAGTCGTATCAACAGCCCCTGCGGGACTTCCACCCACCTTCTCAAACGAAATGAAAGATATGCCAGTAACAATCTACTAAGAGACTCTTCTCTCCGTAGCTCTGATGTCGTTTTGTTCAAATCGAACCTTCATTTTGACACAGTACTTGAGAAAAGTCTTGGTTACAATCGAATTTCACACCTTCCACACACATTTAATCTATGCCCCAAAAGTTATAATGTCTTTGCCCAACTCCTTTTCTCTAGAACGTTCTGGTGCCAGGCCTCGGTACAGACTATTTCTATAATTTCACACTCATTTTGTCTGTCTCAATTCTTCATCTTACCTTGAGACTGAATGAGTCAACACGGGCAATTGGCACCGAAGCTATTGTTACCGGCAGCAGCCCTGTTCCCACCAGATTTCGACTCAAGCACAGATACCCGAAGAATCACACCCTCATTCAGTCCCTGTACTGTCCGCCAACCAATCACAATATCCACTCCCTTATTCCAAAACAGTTTGACTGTACAAAGCCAACCAGGAGACTGCCTCTTCACACTGAAAAGTATGTTTTTGGTAGGAATAGTTGGGGCGAAATTGACCTCGAATAAGAGCTCATTTAGCCATGATTGTTTCCGAAAAAGTAATTAGCCATTCTAGAACACTTAAATTGTATTTTCATGCATTAAAATGGATGGGCTACACGAAACTGCAGTCCATTATGAATAAACTGAGCTTTTGGGGGTTAAGACTAGGTGAGACTTACTAATTTTACTTTAAGAAGAACTCATTTCTTAGTGCTTGAATCACCTTAAGCAAACGAGAGTGACTAAGTTCCTACCCAAGAATGATGGATAGTCTAGAAAACTAATTATATCGAAATTTAGCTTTGCTAGCTCGTGGCTTCACTGTACCTTGACAACCACAGCATTGACTATACATATTGTTCGTATTTAAGTATTGTTTCGAGACTACCAGTAAATCAGTAATATGAGATGTATTCACCCAATTTCGTTTAAAGTGATGAAGGACTGGTAGTGGAATTTTCCCACAATGATATGAGTAGAGCTGACGTTTCCATTCAATTTTACTAAGCCTTGTTTTCCCAAAAGTTGTTCTCATCCCGGCTGGAGTGGACTGCAGTTTCCACCTCGGCTTGGTCTTATCAACATCCCCAGCGGGAGTCGAATCGTGACAGTGCAGAATGTGAGCTTGACACGTTAACCACT